CTGGCCATGGCACAGAGCTGGGCACAGTGCAGAGGGACCAGCACCTCCCCTGGGATGGCAGCACGGGCCCTGTGGGCATGCAGGAGCTGCTTGGAACTGGCCCCTCCAGCCAGGGTGGCACAGAGCACCCATGGCACAGAGGGCAGAAACACATCTGGGAAGGCAGAAACACATCTGGGAAGAGAGCCAGGAGCTCTGCCCTTCTGAACCTGCACACCCACTGCAGCCAGACCTTCCCTCTCCAGGTAAATCATTAACTTTTCAGATGACAGCCTCGTGACTGAAAGATTCCCAGGGTCAGTGCAAATCTGTGTTTTCAAAACCTCACATCAATAAGTGAACGTTGTGACTGAATCCCAGACTCTCCAAGAGGAAGATTAAATGCCTGTGACACATCATCTGCAATCAGAGTGCTCCTTTTCCCAAAGTATCCATCACATATTGATAACATCCATGCAAAAAGTTAAGTGCAATTACGTCTGTCATTGTAGAACACACTTCAGCAGCACTGAGTGACATCTTGCATGCAGCTGACAAATGTGAGCAGGCTGTCTGAGTGACAGGGGCACAGGCTCCTGCTGCACCTCGGGAAGGGATTGGAAYGTGCTCCCAAGGCACAGCAGGCACTGGGGCACACAGAGCACACAGCAGGGATGGAGCCACCACACAGAGCTGCAATGCAAAACAGCTCACTGTTGGTTCTGTGCATCCTCACAGCAGCCAAGGACTTGCTCCCAAAATGCTGGAACCAGACTYGAAGCTGGGAATGTCACCCACAAATCCTGCTCCAGAAGAGTCTGAGGCATGGCACAACTGAGCCAAGACACTGCTCAAACACTCATAACATGTGCTGCCCTCGAAATCTCTGCCCCTGAACTGACAATCATTGATGCCAGGCCAGGGGAAGCAAGAGTGTGCCAAATGTCAGCTGAGTTAGCTGTTACCACCCCTCTGCTGGGGAGGAYTGCCTCCCTGCTCCCTGAAATCTCCTCTCTCTATGGTGACGTGAAAATAAAGAGGTTACTTGTGACTGCAATCTTCTATAAACACTGTGCTGAGTAAAACTCCCCACATTGCTAACAGTATTACAAGAGACCTTCGAGTTGTCTGTGTTCCCTGTAACAAYTAAATATTTGCAGGATGCACCTTTATATGCATTTATATTTCTTAAAAATATATATTGGATAATAAATAGCCAGAGTAAAAAAACCAGACATGAAAGATGCTTGGAATGATCAGGCTGATGGTGTAAAAGTTACCTGTAAATCACACACAGGGTGTGAGAGTGGAGCTGGCTACAGACAGGTGGGTTTTACTAGGAGGCATTAATGTAACATTCAATTATTCCACTGCATACTGGCTGGTTTAACTCAGCCAAATTAGAATACATTTTATATTGACTATTTTGACATTTGCTTTATTTGCCAAGTAAAACAAAACTGATCCAATTTCCTTGCAGCCATTGTAAACCATAAACTGCACAACAAGAGGTTATAAAATATATAAGCCTTGTAAACACTTMTTTTCAGACTGTCACTGATGCTTTGAGCTCTAATTTTGGCCCCGTTCCAAAGAGCTCTGACACTGCTCTGCAGCCATAAAGTGACCCTTCCACACTCAGTGATTCAGCACTGGG